CCCGAACATGAAGAAGAAATTAAATTTCTTTTCTGATAATTGGCACAGACGAAACAATTTCTTTTCATGCATTCCAGCAAGTGGTTTCGTACCATTTATTGCCTACATATTGGGGCAAGTTAATCAGCTCACAAAATCTATAAACATTTAAGATATATTCGAAAAAAAAAAGGACAATATATGGTAACTTACAATTATTCTTGTAAATAATTCTTTATTTAAAAGTAAAATAGCATCAAGTTTTTGATAAACATATAAATTCATTTAGCTTTTTGCTGAAACTGCGGCGAGAATGTTTTCTGGAACAACTTTAGTTTCTCGTTTGTGTTCTTTTTTTTTTTTTGTAAGAGAAAAGTACAAATTGATTTTGCTTTATGTGAGACTTTAATTAAAAATATTTTTATTTATCGTATTTATTTGTACGTTTTAATACTATTATTTATTTTTCCCTTTGTTTTAGCTGCTGCGAAAAGCGTGTGACAAATGCGTAGCAATAATTTTGGTCTGCCACGGCAAGTGTGACATTTATTACAACATTTTGAAGGTGCTCGCTTCGTTTGTTCGCCGCTGGCTGCTAATAAATTAGCTCGCATTTAAAATGGAAAATTGGCATTGGAAAACATATGTGAATGCCGGAGCGAGAACCAACACCGTGTGCCCAAATAAATCATTCAAGCGAGCTGGCATGTGATTTAAGAGGGTTTCAATAAATGTGCTCAAATGAAATGATCGATTGGCAGAGCTATGAAAATGAAAACAAAAAGTCTCGAATAGTTTTTCATATTGACAGAACTGGCTATCGGCAAAATTTGGCAAAAAACGCATATTTATAATTGAATTAATCAGGAAAAAACGTAAAAAAAAATGTATTAATTAAAATATTTGCCTCGATCGGACAAAAATTGATTCGCGCCAGCTAAAGAAATCTTTTAAAATGAAAAGCTCATCAAAATCAACAAATAAATATTTATTTTATTTATTTTTTAGTTGTTTCTGAGGTGTACAAAATATACAAATAAAAGTATATATATATATATAAATAAATAAATATTTCTTTTCTTCTTCCTAGACTTTGCCTTTAATCGCTTTAACTGCTAATCAATTCATCTGCATATTAATTTCCCTGTAAACCAATTAATTGCCTTATTAATTTTCAGACCAATTTTATTGTTTCAAATGTCTTTTAAGTTCCAGACTGTGACTCCAACAACAACTACTTACATTCCATTCAGCTTAACTAAATGAAATTAACATAAGAGAGTCGCTGCATATCACATGTTTATTTAAACAGGGCTACATGTGCTTCAGGGTGCGCCGACACTCGAGTTTAGCTCTTAAGGCCTTTTGCACATTTACTTAAGTTATTTGACTTGTTTCCTATTTTTTTTTGTTTGTTTTATTGTGCGCTCTTTTTTTTGCAGGCGTCTCTGAGGCCCCGAGCAGCAAAGGGTCCAAAGATGCAACACACACGATACATGGGTTAACATTTTGTTTGGGGCTCTTTTTGTTGCCAAAACAGTGGAATTTCGGGCCAAGGATTTTGTCGTTGTTGTCTTGCACGCTGATTCCTATTTCTAAACAGGAGGGCCAAAGCACCGGGAATACGAAGCGTGTCAGAGTTGGCATTAGAGCCTGACATGCCTGCAGGGACAATGCCGCAGCGTTGAGGTATGTAAAGGCTATTGATGTGTGTGTGTGTGGATTGTCTTGTACTTGTTGTTGTTGTTGTTGTTGTTTTTGTTGCTGTTGTTGTTGCCGTACTCCTTGTCTCGACTTGATTGAGTTTTATGCACAGTTTACTCTCGTGTGCTGCCTAATAGCCGTCGGCCCTCAGCCACGTGGCACACATCCTTAATTTAAGTGACGCCAGCGATAAACGGCGAGCCTTTGAAGTTGAAATCTTTGCCTTAAATTGCGTTCTTCGACATATTTCTTGCTGTTTTTTTTGGTGGCAAGTGCTTAGGAGATTACTGAATAGAAGTTGGGGCAGCTAAAAGTTGGCCAGCATGAACTTTGACGTCATCGTGGCCCATTGTCATACACAAATGTTGTCTCAGTTTGTTGTCATCTTCTTCTTTACCATTTTGCCATTCACCTTTATTTGCGCTGCGATTTATTTATTCAAAAGCACAACAATTTTCGCAATTTTCTTTTTATTTTCCCTATATACGCGCGCACACACATATTTACTTATTTGGCTTTTAGCTAAACTTGGAGTCTAGTCTTTTGTGCCAACTGCCAATTCAATGGGCTGCATTCATGAGCTGTCTGAGTTTTTTTTTTTTTTTTTTTACTTTTTTATATATTTTTATTTGGTCTTTCGCTTTTGACTTGTTTGCTTTTTCATGGATGTCTGCCCAAAAGGTTGAGCGAATGCATGAAGCATGTATGTATGAGGTAGGTGTGTGTCAATGGGTGTGTGTGTGTGTGTGTGTGTGTGTGTGTAGAACGCCACTCATTGCTGTTATATGACAGCGCAGTTGACGTCATTATAAGCAGAAACATATACACCCATACACAACTCAAATGAGTATTTGTATAGCAGCTTAGCTAAAGGTCGTCTCAAAGATACTTGAACATCTAAATGCAGATTAAGGATTAAAGCAAAAAAGTTGAGTTTAAAAATGTATCTTTAAAAAAATACATGTCACCAGTTTATTCACTGCGGCTTTAATTGCCAAGAAAATGTTGAACATAACAATCTAAGTATTTTTTATATTTATGCAGAAAATGCTACAGTTTATATATTTATGCTATTATTATGTCAGTTAGCGTAAAATATTTGCATTCAGAATAATTTTTTTTTATAAAATACTCTCGGTTGTGTTTTACATTCAAACGATACTTATAGAAACTTGAAATGAATTTCATTATATTATTTTCATTTGATATATCTTTTTATAAATCTGTTATATTCAAGCTTTGCGAAAAACCTTCACACATGAAATTGTTGCTTGAAATGCGAAATAAAAAACAAAATTTTAAAAGAAATTAAGAACAATCAGAAAGTTATTGTCAACAAAAAAAAAAAAAAGAAACAAAACTTTTATAGCATAATATATACACTTAAATAAACCCATCCATGCCTTACTGCTTAAGCTTCAAATCGATTGTTTTTTTTTTGTGTCTTCTTTCGTTTACACCTGTCTGACGGCAACACTTTTAAGTCAACTTCAATTAGACGTCGGAGAAATGCAAAGTCGCTTTTCTATTTGCTCAGGGATGCTTTTGTGCAGACATTCGAGGCTTATGCAAAAGAAATCACCATTATGCAGGACAATTGAAGCGTAAGGCGCCACTCAAAGTCCGCTTCAAGGCGTCTGTCAGACAGTTGGGTTCAGTGTTGAGTTTAAGGATTTCGATTTTCTATTGCCAGTAAAGCCGAGTCGAACCTGCCTACTGCTCAGTCATTCCAGCTAAATAATGCGCTGTATTTAAACAGTCTGTCGTGCGCGCACACACACACACACAGAAACCAAGCCACACACATGCACGCACACTCTAACAGAAAGCATACGCGTTATGCCCCAGAAATTAGGCTACAAAAATTATGATTATGATGTGTTCATTGTTTTAATGCGCCCCCTTGCCAAAGGCAATTTGCCAAATACGCAACACAAACACAAATATCAAGTACCTACAAATACACAATGGAGCACACAAGCAGCACGCACACACACCTATACCCATACACACACCAAGAGATGTGTGTAACATTTTCGGCTGCTCAACTTATCAAGTGCTTACAAATCGTCCTATGTTAGAAAATGCCTTAATGGGGGGGCAACATAAACAATTTGAACGAATTTGCCACGCTTCTAAAAACTAACTAGATATTATAATTAATATTATAGATTAACTTAAGGTTTGAAAAATATAAAAAACTAATTCAAAGTGATTTTCAAAATATTAAACTAATATAATATAATATTTCATATATTCAAAATATTTTTACATTAATAAATTTTAAAATAGATTCTTACATTAAAACTGGAACAAAATTATTCTTCAATAAAATTATGTCTTATGTAAAAATAGCGAAAAAGAAAGAACATCTGTGCGGCGCTTAATTAAAAATAAAAGTTTTTTATTTTCTGTTCTTTTTTGTCTTCTGGCGCAAGAATTTTGTTTACATTTCGTGCTGCTAATCACATGCAAATCCTTTTAAGTCGCAATGACTTTGTGACTCGGGCGCATAATAAGCTCATTTGTAATGGAAATAAGTAGACACACACACTTATGAAAATCCCAGTATGTGTGGGTGTCTGTGTGTGTGTGTGTGTGTGTGTGCGGGTGACTGTTTGTTTGTGTTTGTAATAGCTGCAGGTTATTTGGCATAACCTTTTTTGTAGCTATTGCTGGCAGTGCCAGAAGTTAACCTGCTTTTGTTTATGGCATCTGAGTGTATATGCGAGTACATATACACGTGTGTGTGTGTGGGTGTGAGTGAGTGCGCACATTAAAATATGAATCTAATGTTCATTTTATGCGCGTAATTTACGCTGCCAGGCAAAACAGAGCAGCTCATAAACACCATTTGTACTGGTTGCTGAATTCCTTATGAAAAGCGCTGTTCCCAAACCGGGTGCATAATGATGTGTGAAGTATGTATGTTTGATGGATATATGTATCCGACTTAAATAAATATTTAAAGACAATAAATACCTTTAAATATGTCCTTTAAATAGTCAGGAAATTAGTCAGTATAACTTTTCTTAAGCAAAAATTTATAACTGGAAAATAAGAATAAAATATTTAAAAAACAATATGAAAGTTTAATGTAGGGATTTAATTGAAATAATTTGTAATTCTTGAATAATTTTTAAATTATTTACTTTAAACAAATATTAGCAATCAGTTTTACTTTTGATAGCAGCTGACAACTGTATAAAATTGCTAAGAATAAAAAGTTGCTAACATTAAGAAAAATAATGAATTTGAACTTTTGATCGATTAGCAAATCTAGTAAGCTTTGGTTTATCAGGATCAGTTAGACAATCGAGTTAAAATAATATATCAATTGAACAACAAAAACAAATACATACACGATACATTCGAGCCTAACAAAATAAAGCGTACATTATAACACACATAAAAGAACATATCCTGCAAAACATATTGATACAAATATAGATTTAGTCAGCCTAAGGAAGATCCATCGCAATGCCATTGAGTGGCGACTTTAGTATCCTGAAATTCGAGACCTATGAGGACTATCTGCAATCGTTTGCCAGGGTTGAGGAATATCGTTATTTGGGCAGCAAAAGAGTCATAGGTGCGATGGTAAAGCTCGGCTATTGCACGAATGCCCCAATAATGGAAAAGGATGAATTCCTTTTGCGCAGGCAGCGCTTAAAGCAATCGCTCAACCCAAAGGTAATAGATAAGTTGTTTAGTGTTTATCGGACAAGTGATGATCCGGCGTTAGTTGCCCTGGCCGACCGGGAGGAGCCCAATGTGCTAATGAGTCTATCGGTATACTCAAATAGATGACTAATCTATACTTAAGCTTGTTCATTAACTGATCCTTACACAGACCATTATCTTCCTGCAAGTACGACAGCGCAATGGCTCCGATATATCGGGATATATTGACTATGCGGACAGCTTGCGTGCCTGTAGCCAGCACATGCTTGGGGCTATAAATTGGCGTGCCGTTTTCGAGGGTCGCATTATGCTGCAGCCCGATCGCACCCACTTGAGCTTTTATGACTGGCACAGGGGGTCCCTTACATTCAACCATAGCGACAACTACAAAGTCGTAAATTATGGCGGTCGTCTCTTGTTCAAGCACAATGCCGATCATAAGATTGTTCCTGTCACAGCTACGGAAAGCATATTTCAGGATAATGTGATGCGCACATTTATTGAATCGCCAATGTATGGCTTAATGATTTTGTATGACCATCATGTCCGAAAGGCTTTTTAAACATTCCATTGCCTTTATACAAAAATACAAATAAATACGCATTTTTACACAACTTTGTCCTGACTGTCTGTTCATTGAGGTCTTCAAATTCAATACAAATGCATCTGGAGCGCTAGAGACTCGAATTTGAATTTATTTATATTTGGGCATAATACACCGGTATAATTAATATCCCTAAAAAATCAATATCACGCTTAAAATCGCTACGATCGATACGAAATATTGAACTGCGAGCACGCACTAAATTGATAATTTAATAGGCTAATTTTTTTTGGCAAGGGAAATTTAACTTGGATTAACTTTGATTTTAATTATGTTTAGTAGCTTTGGCTTGATGTTTACTATTACAAGCATGACTTAATCAATGTCAAAAAAAAGTCATTTTAAGACAATCAAATAGACATCCTTCTAGAATAATAAAATACACAATTTCCCAAATATGTAAGGTCAATAGTGTATCGGGTTCCGGCAATAGATAGACGGACCTAAGCAAAGTTTCACATCGTTAGCCTTTAAACTAAAGAAACAGTTTGAGCAAGAAATGTAGTTTCTGCATATTTTTAAGCGATGAGCGATTGCTGCATCTAGTAGGCTTTGCTTGGCTTAGGCACAGATGAATACTTGAAATTCAGTTAAACACCAACTGTACAACTAGTACAAACACAATACAAAATACATAAACCACACAAAATAAAAACACGATACACTAAAACACAACACAACAAAAATAAACAAATAAAATAACAATCAAAAATAATTGTAGTAGAAGATCCAGCACAATGCCAGTGCGTGGCGATTTTAATGTCCTGAAATTCGAGACCTATGAGGAATATCTGCGTTCGTTTACTAGGATTGAGGAATATCGCTATTTGGGCAACAAAAGGATCATAAATGCGCTGGTTAAGCTTGGCTATCGCACCAATGCCACAATCTATGAGGAGGAAGAGTTTTATGCTGTAAAAAAAAATCTATTGGATTTGATCAACCCCAAGTCGATTATAACCACACTTTTCAGTTGTTATCTGAAAGGTAAAGATCCAGCTTTAGTTGCCCTGGCCGAACGAGAGGAGCGCAACATGCAAAAAAAGCTGTCGGTAATCCAAAAAATCAAAAATAGCCAATCTATAACCTAATTCTTGAAGTGCCTCCAATCTAGACCATTATTTTCATTCAAATGCGGCAGTGCAGTGGCTTCGATACATCGGGTTATATAGACTATGCGGACAGCTTGCGCGCCTGTAGCCTTCACATGCTTGGGGCCACGAATTGGAGGCTCGTGTTCGAGGAACGCATTTTGCTGCAGCCCAATCGCACCCACTTGAGCTTTTATGACTGGCACAGCGGCACCGTTCACTTCAATCATAGCGACAACTATGAGGTTATGCGTTTTGGAACCTCGCTCACGTTCAAGCATAAAGGCGATCACAAGATCATTCCCGTAACGATGGTGGATAGTCCCCATAAGGATAATGTGAAGCGCACTTTCATTCGATCGCCTTTGTACGGTTGTATAATTTTATACGACCATATCGTTAGAAAGCCATCTTAGATAGTTTGTCTTTTTTTTATAAAAGGGTAACATTTTCATATTGTGTAAACACAAATTTCTAATGAAGAAACTCTGAACAGATTTTTCAATTGGCTGAATAACCAATTTAACGCCAATCGACTTCAATACTTATGTATGGAGAAAGGCCTTAGATAAATAGGTAATTTTCAACTATGTCGCATACTAATAAAAAATAAAGACAGATAATAATAGTAGTGATAAAGATATTTTTAGTATTACGAAACTTTAAATTAATATTAAAAAGCGAAATTCCTAAACTTGGTATATTCTACCACATATGAAAAAAAATCAAATCTTTTACCTACGAGAATTAAATCAATCCGACTAGAATGCTATATGTTTCATTCCGTTTTAGAAAATCAGAACAAAACTACACTTACTCCAAAAAAAAAATAAAAAAAATAAAAATAAAAAAAATAATAATAAATAAATGAAATATATAACACAAAGAAATAACAGAAAAAAACAAAAATCAAATAATTACGCGAACACAAAAAAATACGCATGCCATGGGTACTATTCGACCGGACTTTGGCTTACTCCAGTTTGATAACTATTCCGATTATATCAAATCGTTCATTTCAATAAAGGATCAGCGTTATATAGAAAGCTCGAAGGCTATTACCCAATTTGTAAAGCTTGGCTATCGAACTACTACTAAAATCTATGAAAGTGATGAATTCAATTATATTAAAAACAAAACTTTGGAATTGATAAACCCGAGAATTCAATTGAGTTTGCAGTGCGGCCAATATATAAAGGGGAATGATCCCGGTCTCAAAGCCTTGGCGGAACGCGAACTACCCAATTTATTGCAAAAACTTTCGGTAAGCAACGAAATTGTATAAGCTTTAAATACAACGTCAAATTTTTTCGCTTTTAGACAATTATTTTTTTGGTGGTTCGCCAACCGAGCGGCTTTGATATATCGGGTTATATTGACTATACGGATAGCTTGCACAACTATAACCTACATATGCACGGTGCGACCAATTGGAAAGGCGTCTTTGAGGGCAAGTGTAAATTGCGTCCCAAGCCCACTGATTTGAGCTACTACGACCTGCATAAGAAACTCGTCATCAGCAACAATAGTGGAAATTATCAGACAATGCATTTCGGGCAGTCCATGGTATTTATGCACAAGGGCGATCACAAGATAATTTATTTGGACTCGCATCATGGAACTGGTGCTGTTAGGCGCAGTATGATACAAGACTCGGCCCTGGGCACAATGATTTTATACGATCACGTTGTAAGAAAGCCGGTCTGATTGCTCATTCCGCAATTGACAAATTTGAATATATTGATCACCAGAAACTAAAATAATTCACTGGTTTTCATAGCAGCATAATTCCAATCTGAATTTTAGGTACATATTCAAATATATTTACACAATTTGTGGGAAAGTACTATACAGTGGGCGCAAAAAGGAATTGGAAAATCAAATGTTCGCAGTGAAGCATTTCTTAAATACGTAATGTTATTCGTGGAATCAGGTAGTAAAATGTTTGCGAATGTGACACAAAAAATTCGAAAATCGTGAGCATTTGATTTTGAGTAGAGCTTGTGGAAAACATATAATATGTGCGAATCAATAGAGAATAATATGTAAATCTTATATACGAGCCATAAGCAGACGGCCGAAGAAACCGCGTTCGTTTAGTAGCTTGGCGCAACTCTGCCAAGAGTTGTGATAGAGTGGAGTCAGCGGGCCGAGCACATTCTCCCGTGTAAAGTCGCACTTCTCGCACAGGTTCGGCTGGAATCGCACATCCGAGTGGGTGCCACTGACCAATGTGTAGGTAAGACCGAGCGGACCGCGACAACCGTCCGGCGACTCGAGGCACAGCTGAAAGAGCAAACTGCAGGGACAGTTAGCCTGGTCAGCTGGTTCCTCGACATCGGTCGGTGTCTGCCATTTGAGCTGCACGGACCAGCGCTGGCTGAAGGCCTCGAACATGGCGCAAGTCTTAAAGTTGTTGCGCGGAAAGCCCTCCAGTTGCGGCAACAACTGCAGCAGACGCACTGTGATGTGTGGCAGCTGCAGCAGCTTCATTATCTTGCCCAAAAGACACTGCTTGGCGTCGCGCTGCTCCTGGCGCTGCTGCAGCTCGTCCAGCAGCTGCAGACCCCGCTTGCCATGGTACTCGCAGCTCTCCTCATGTGCCGCCACAGCCTCGCCCAGCATGCCCTTCCAGTTGCAGCCAATGCGCCTGTACTTGCACGGCACCAGCCGCCGCGGGCAATCCTCCAGTCCATGCTTGCGCAGCAAGCCGCGCTGCAAGTGAACGCCACAATCCTCACAGGCCACCATCAGCTGGGCGAGCGTGTGCTCGCCCGCGAGGTTGCGGTACGGCTCATGCCGATAGATGCGAACGCCGCACTGCGGACAGGTGCCCAGCTGGGCGCCCAGCATCTTGTCCAGCACGCGCATCTGATAGCAGCCGGCGCAGATAGTATGCTCGTGCTGGCACTGGTAGAGCGTCGTGAACGGCATCGTCTTGCACACAATGCAACGTAGGGCCTCCAATTCATCCGCATTGCCACCCACATTCAATCCACTCCAAGCGGGCACATTGGCCAGCTCGTCATCGCTATCGATATTGATTCCGGGTATGTGTCTTAATGGTATTTCGGCAGGGTCTGTATCTGGGAATACGCGATCGTTCTCTTCCGGTTCTTCAGCGTCTTCGGGGGTTAGCATGTTCTCAACCGACATGTTGCATAAGTGGTGCTCGTTCGTTTTAAAATATCATGAAATATTTACTACAAATATTTATGTGCATTTTTCAACATATTTACTGTGGAATGTGCTATACATTTATTTATTTTCTCCGACCTTAAGTAAAGCTTCAAATTACGGCTTACTTGGATTTACACAAGATACAAAAATTCCTATAGCTTTTACCAGAATCAAATCATAAAACTATTTATTAATATGATCATACATACAGACAGACAGATATACATAAATTGAATATTTATTTATATATTCTATATACATAGATAAAAAAGAAAATATATGCATATATATTATTTTTTATTTGTATATAAATAATATATATATTATATTTCTATAAATATTCTTGGAGCTTTATTTTTTTTTCAAATCTGACTGATATAAAAAATATATAAAATAAAATAAAATATATTTAAACAATATTTTTTGTTTTGTTCTAATTTGAAAACTTCTTGAGCATCATAGGAAGAAAAACATATTGGAAGGAAATTCGATTTTCCATTTCGTGTCAGTCAATTAAATTCTTAACAGCCAGAGCTTGGCGAAATTGATGCAACATGCAACCTCTTTTGTTAACTATAAAATGAGCAAAAGCATTGTGCAAAAATTAAGCGATTTTTAATTAGTTTTTGCTCGCAAGTACTTACGGCGTAAATAACACTCGCTCTGATGCTTAAGGATTGGCTCCAATTGCTTGACAAACTACCAGATAGTAATAAAATGTGAAGAACAAAGGGCAGCTGTCATGCCAAGGCAACTGCCTTGACCGAATCACAAATAAAAAGGAAATTTTAGCAGCTGGTGCAAAAAAAAAGAAAGTCCAGCAGATGCTTTGGCTAAATAATAAACAGCTCTAAATCATTTCAACAAATGGCAGCCACGTGATTTCCGCTTGCTGCACGTGCTTCAACTGGCTTTAAATGTTTGTCCTGGCCCGTTGCGCTTCAGCTGCCAAAGCAGAAATTATTGGCAACGCGCTTAAGCGCAATAAATATGTTTGATTGCTGGCAACGGGCCAAAATACAAAATACGACTTTCAACATAGCGAGTGTATTCAGCAGTCGGTGTGGGCCACTGCTCCAGCACATCCTCCGTGCTCCTCTTGCCGCCAATTTGTAATTGATTCGAAGGCACAAGTAAATGGCTGCAAGCTGTTTGCTCAGCAGTTTTTAATAGTCGCTGATTCTGATCTGCCAGCAAAAGGATAACAAAAATGTAAACATGAAAATGATTTGCTTGGTAAATTACTTTGCCGATAACCAAAGATAAATCAAAGTGCGCTTGTTGTTACAACACATTTTGATAGACTTAATACCAAGTTAAATATTAATGGAAATTACAAAAGTAATTTGTCACGTTTTTTAAATAGCAAACATTTATGTTTCGAAATTTCATTTATTGAGTCTTGAGGGTAAATATTACACGAAATTTATTTTCACCAAGTATTTTCAACTGTTCTGTAATTAAATATATTAAATAAATAAATGTAAGTTTCTTCGAAAGTGAACAACGCATTTTGAATCAAAAAGGCAACATTAACTGACGAAAATCTATGCATACTATGGAAATATGGACGATGACGATGCACTTTAATATTTAGGTACAATACACAAGATTTTTTGAAATCCTCATAGCATTTTAATATGGGAGTAAAAAGTAGAGCGCAACCTTTTTAAATATTTAAATGTGTTAAGATAGATATGCATAAATTTAAATATTTAAGTATAATGTCCGCAAATTAAGCAAATAAAGTTTAGACCATTTAAATCCTCATGGAAACATTAAAGAAAAAACAACTTATTATTTAAAAAACTTAATATCTCAATCAAACAAAGTAAGAATAATAGGTAGCCCATCATATTTATGCTTAGGTACAATATTCTCAAGTATTTTAATTATGTTTAATTATGTGTATTTTAATAAATGTGACCCTTAGAAATGCTCAGTGACAAAACAATTAAAATATTTTAAATGCTATAAAATCAATATCTCAATTATTTTGATATAAATATAAGGGTTAGTCTATAAATTCAATTAATATTTAAACAAGTTTATAAGTTTCTGTATTTAAGTACTGTTAATGTTTTCAAAAACTAATAGCTAGGCAAATAAATAAGAGCATGATTTAATAAATAAAATAAATTTGTTTGTATATTGATTAAGGTTTTTACCATCTGCCAATGGAGAATAATTCATGCATCTTAATTGAAGGTACATATATATTATATATTATTTGCTTACCCTGCTTACCCATATCGAAACTATCTATAATCGTAATATTTTTTATCACGTCATATAAAATGCCGCTGGCCAATCATGGTACATAAGACCCTTTACACGTCGGATGGCCAAAGGAAAGAAAATTACAAAAGCCCAACTAAAAAGGGAGATTGAAAAAAAAAGACGCGGAAAAGCGCAACTAAAAATGCTTTTGTGCACAATTCGATTATTTACGTTATTCTTTTTAGATGATATTTCCCATTGGCAAACGGGTTAGCGTGCTTGGTTTGTAATGGAGCTGGTGCCGGAGAAACCAATTATCTGAACCAAGGAGCAGGAGCAAGCGATTTGCAGGGAAACAAAGCGAATGAACGGGAATCGAAGGAAATTGAAGTGGAAACCGTATTGCACTGAAAGCCAAGAAAATAAGTATCTATCTGGCAGCTAAGAGGCAACAACAAACAAAAGATCAAATTAATAGCATGGCCAACAAGCTGCGGGCAGCAGCAAAAACAAAAAAAAAAAAAAAAAACACAGCTGGCGGCAACCCCTCAATGGAGGCCGTCACTTGCAGTGGACAAACATTTGTACAGTTGGCTGCCGACGAGACGAACCCAAACATAGAGCCCACTATAAAACACTGACGATGGTGCAACTGAAGCATCATAAACATTTCCGGTGTTCTTCCACAAGCAACACAATTGGACTGAGCATGTCAATCAAGTACGCACTGATCTTTGCCCTGGCGGCGCTCTGCTGCCTGGTGGCCACCGAAGCAGCAGCTCAGCGTCGCAACGGTCTGGCACGCGCTGCGGTCGTGCAGGCGGACGAAAACAAGACGGCTGAGATTGAAGGACGCCAGGCAGAGGACCAGGAGCTAGACGAGGAGGTGGAGCAGGAGGAGGAGGGCGATCAGCAGCAATCGGCTCCAGTCAAGGTGCAGGAAAACGAGCAACGCACCGTGCCTGACAACAGGCAGAACGCGCTCAGAGAGACCGTGGTCCGGTCCAGCAATGATGATGCTCGTGCCAGACGTGTGGTGCGCCGTGGCACTCGCCGTGGTCCTCGCCGCAACAGGAGCAGCCGTCGTCGTCGCGGCGGACGTCGTCGTGGCGGTCGCAGGAATCGCGCTGGCAACCGTCGTCGTAATAACATCAGAAGGCGCAGCGGCAGACCCCTCCGGGGTTAAGTATTTGACCACAAACGGACTCATCGATGCACACACTCACCGATTAACTTAGGCACACACACACACACACACACACACACACAGAGGCACACACATAACACACACAAAACGTACAAGAACGAACTGATTTATGTACATATGTGCTATACTATCTTTCAAACCCCCTCAAGTAAAATATATATTTTCACATTTTAACTAAAAACTATCTGCTGTGGTATTCTTATATAAAAAATACCTTTTAAAATATAAGAAAAATATTAATATTTAACATTATGAACCTAATAGCTGTGGTCAAGTTTTTTCAATCTGATTTCGGTTCGCCTTTCACTACATATATTTACTGAGTTGTGCCCACAATTTGTATGATCTAGTATACGACCCAATTTTCGAACCAATTCGCAGTTATATTTTTATAGCTTTTAAACAGTTTCCGGCATTCAAGCTGAAATGGATGCAAGTTTAAAGCGCCAGCTTAATACAGTGCATGCCAGAAATTCTTTGGATTGCAGAGAAAACTTTTCAACAGTATGCGAAAAATGCCAGTGGTGAAAATTCCAGAGGCCTGTTCCTCGTCAGCGGCAACAGCTTCAGCTCCGGCACCGGCTCCGGCCCGGGCTCGGGCTCTGGCCAACAACTGAGGCTGGCGACGTGACATGTGACAAGAACTTGCCGCGGCTGCCTGCAACATCTGCTGCTGTTGATGTTGTTGTTGTTGTTGTTGCTGCCACACTCTGCTGCCTTGTGCTCGGCTTCAAAAATGATGAATGTGCCAATGTTTCTGGCCTGCAGCTGCAGCTGCCGGACGCCCTTGCCCCCTCGCCCGCTGGCCTGCTGTCAGCGTTGTCTCAACTTATCCCGGCTACACTCGGGCAAAACTTCTTAGCCAGTGTGTACACGCAGTTGGGTAAAAGTTTTGCGGCCGCCAAGTTGGTCCATTTTTGGATTATTAGGCAACACTTGGTGCAACATACAGCACCAGTTGCAGCCTCAAAATGTTACAAGTTTATCAACACAAAAGTTTTTGTAGTGTAACGGCTCCATAAATGGTAAATGGTAAATGGTAAATGAGTTTGTCAGGCCGCACACGCATTAAACCTCAAACAGTTTGTGGATGACGGTGGGCGTGGAGTGCAGTTCAGGAAATTAAATCCATGTGTTGAGGCAGCGGCAACATCAAGAGCCGCCATGTGCGCACATTTTGATGGGCAGCCAACCGCATTGATGAGCATTTGCTATTGTTATTGCCCCAGAGGCGCCGCACTGGAGCTTCAGTTCAATAAAAGGCACCTCAATTCGGGTCCATTGCCGAAAATAATCACAATAATAATGAGCTGCTGCTGCTGCTGCTGTTGCTGTGCTATTCGTTACTTGATACTCGTTACTTGCTACTCGTTATTTTCTCTACTCGTCGCTGGTGACAAGAGCCTGCTTTCGGGCGTTTAATTAAGCGCACAATGTGCATTCGAGAATTTTGTAATTTCCTATCCATCAGCTACACGTATGCTCTTATCGGGCTTTTGGGTCTGATGAATAGACAACAACTGGCTGTCTGTATGTGTGTGTGTGTGTCTGTGTGTGTGTTTTAGTGTGCGAGTGTATGAGTGTGTGAGGTGCTTTGTCTTTGTGTGCATCTGTTTGAAAAACAATAAGCTCTTCATTGTTTGTCTTTTTTGAGCAACAACAAAGAACCAAGAGCAAAACAATTTAGATATGACAATAAAGCAAATGAAATGAATTCGTTTCGACGACTCTACAAACATATCGCCCATCATATAAGCAAAGAAAGCTGTTGAATTTCAGTAGAAATTTCGTTTCAATCTACAGAATTCTCAATAATGACCTATATTTTTGTTTTTATTTTTATATTTATACAAAGTGCAGCTGAATCAATTGTTTGCTCTAAATTGAATTCATCTATGGAGACACAAAGTAAAAATGTGAAATAATTTGTTTTTAATTATAAAAAAATATTCAATGTCCAAATTTGTTATCTTAAAAACAGACCTATTAATAGCCATTTAAATATCCGCTAAAACTTACGCAAAACACTCTCAAGTCAACGCCTTACTTGATTAACAAAAAGCAGAATAAAACGTATTGCACAGACAATTATTATTTATTTTAATGTTAATTGTTTTTTTTTTTTTTTTGTTTTTGTGCTAGTGCCCTTAAGACGGATGTCGAGGCGCAATCGAAAAATATCGGAGAAATACATATTAAACAAAATAGTTTTTAATTTTTTATTTGAATTAATTCAATCTCGGAGACGGAGCTAGCTAAATAAATATTTAATTTAAAATATAAGATTTATCAGCTTTGAATTAGTTGTAAGCCAATTTTAAAGCGGAGATTGATTTGATTGGAATTTTACTTTAGATATTTACAGAGGCAAAAACCTAATTCTACTAAAGGTACTATTTGTTTAAATGTAATGTGCGTGTTTCCTTTCTCATTTCTTGCTTACAAATTTTCTTCAATAGTTCCAAAAACATAATTTATTGCAACCATCGAAAGTGAATTCATAATGCAAACTGAATTAAAAACTGAAACAATGCCCATAAAAGTACCAAGTTTTTTTATAGCACACAAACTAGGGACGCTCCACTTTCCTGAAGACATATTTTTCCGAATGAAAATTATATTCGAGCAGTTAGATTTCGTTTATTTTATCTAGTAACCACAAACATGGTTCTCATGATTCATCAACGAGCAATTTTATTTTAGTATTAGTAGCCGGTTAAATTGAATTTAGCTTGTGGTTTTAAGTTTGTAAACAACTCGCTTGAGTGTATGCAATTGTGTTCCCCAAAACATTTGATTGAAAAACTTAAACTTAAAGTTAAGGATTTTGGCAACGTTGACACATTTTCGCAAACTGTTCTGTTGAAGTCTTATAAATTGAAACAATAATTCGCAGCTACAGCTCGAGAGCAACATTCAGATTGAGTTGCCACGATTTACATGACAGAGCGAACAGTCTCGCAGCGCGGACTTCGGAACGAGCCCGGCCAAAGGAATATATTATAAAAGAATGATGCACATTTGTAGTTTTTGCGCAAGTATTTTCTTTTCACTTTTTGTGTTTGTTTTATTTATTTATTATTATTTTTTTTTTTTTTTTGAATGTTTAACAGCCTGCTGTGATTTCTGGGCCAACTTTTTTTTGGGCTGAGGGTGGAACAGCAGTGCAAATATACGCAAGGGTAAAGAATGAAAATCACACGACGGTTTTCAATTGAAAGGCGGAAATGTAACGGAAATAAATTTACATAAATACAATATGGTGCGTGCTTGTTGGTGCCATTTTATTTGCTCAATATATATTGTGCTGGCACGCACAAACATATTTGCACAGCAGTGCGTATTGATTTATATATATGTTTATATATACATGCGTAAAAATATTTTCTTTTTAGATTTTCCATTGAAAAATCAAATTTAAGGCAAAACTTTAGTTATGCCAAAAGCCTCCTTCTGTCTATCTGTCTTGCTGGGCACCATCGTTGGCACTTCTTTAATGCCAAAAACATTTTTGCCATTTCGTGACCAAATTTAGAGCACTATCACGTGTGTGTAACACACACGCACACACACACACAAACTCGTACACACACCTGCCTATCCAGCCAGCCATAAGCTTCGGTAAGAATTTTTTTCGCATGCAGCATGCATTATTTGCATAAGATAAAGAATGGAAACAACAAAGAACGTTAAATTAGGTGTTGCTCGACCTTCAGATTCCCAGTGATAGATGCTAGCTATTATATCAATGTTAGATCGTTTGAATACTAAAAGTATTTCGTGATCATAGAAACTTGATTTTTCGGAAAAGGTCAATCTTATTTCTAAATACCGAGTTACGAATACTCATCTGAAGTATATGGCGAGATAAACTTGTCTTAAGATATCATTCTCTCTTATTATGATTTTTAAGTTTGATTAAAGTCATGCTAATTTTAATTTTAAGTAAGCTCATATTGAGCATGGGTTATAGGAATAATTAATATTAAGAGGCTTTTTTTCTGTGTAAAAATACATTTTTTTTTATTAATATTTTTTCATCTTATAATGTGATCATATAAAATAATATAACCATATATCTCGGAGGGAATCATAACCCGAGTTACATTTTCGGAATACGGATTGGGACTATCGCATACCGGAATACGCTTGTGATCGGCTTTATGCTTGAACATTAAAGTATCGCTGCTACGCACGATCTCGAAATTATAGGTATCATTATAACATAAGACACTTCTATGCCAGTCGTAAAAGCTCAAATCGTTTGGCTTCGGGCGCAGCCTAGCTCGACCCTCAAACACAGCCTTCCAATTCGTGCGATCGGGCGCTTTTAAGGTGCAGTCGCGCAAACTCTTCTCATAGTCTATATAGCCGGATAAGTCGAAGCCACTTCGCTGTCGCACCTGCAGAAAGATAATGGTCTACGCAAAAGCGACTATAAACAAATTGTTCGATATGAAGGAAATCCTCATATAAATATATTTATATATATATGCTTACAGATAATTTCTGTAACAAATTGGCTTCCTCACGGTCCACCAGGGCTTTTAAGCCAGCATCGGTACCTTTAAAGAAATTGCCATAGAGGATGCTTGACACCTTTGGATTTATTTGCTCATGCAGTTGTTTTCGGAGCTTGTGAAATTCATTCTCTTCATATACTTTGGCGCTGCAGCGATAGCCGAGAGTCACCAGCTTTTTAATAGGTTGCATAGTCGATAGATATCTATAGTCCTCAGTTTTAATGAGCGATTTCAGGTAATCCTCATATGATTCGAACTTAAGCAGTCTAAGATCCATATTTCCCAGCATGGTTAATATTATTATACTTAGTTAAATATATATGCAAGATAAACAATACTCTAGTATGTTCATTACAATATTCTTATATGTTGTTATATTGTTTTTTGATGTTGTGATTATATGACTGATTCTCCTGATTCGTTATGGGCATACCCTATTTTGACATTTGATACAGGGCATGCTTAGTGCTAGACGCTGCGAACTGCTTACAGGCAAAAATGTGAAAATGTATTTTCTATAAAAGCCAAGCAAAAACACAAACGACGACAACGATGGGGACGATGAGAACGATGCTGATAAAGACAACACACACGCTGAGAGACACAGAACGTGGCCGCCTGTCGCCATTTTGTTGCATTTGCGACTTATATGCATATGCAGACACACACACACACACACACACACACACACACACACACATGCTTATGTGTGGCTCCCAAACTCAAACGTGCAGTAAAAATTACATTTTCCTTGCACGAACATTTCCCACAACCAACTGCACGAAAATGCACAAAGATTTTTTTGTTGCCTCTTTTCTTTTTGCTTGGTCCTACTTTGTTTTTACTCGAACGATGGCGGAAAACGTTTTCCATTGGCAGCGGCATTGGCGGTCGGGCGATTTTATTGAACAGTGGTGAAGGTTAATCCAAAATGTAAGCATATTTACTTTTAAACACATTTTTTTTAACAATGCATTTTTTAGAATAATTAGAAATTGTTCCACAACAAACAATAAACAAAAATGCCTTCCTTAAATGTTCACGTTCTCACTTATTTATTTTGCATACAATATTTTTGTGACTTTATGCAACATTCAATTAATTTTTAGTTTTGAGCTTATTATATTTTAATAGATAACTAATTTGAATATAGAGTTTGCGTTTATATGTAAATAAATTCGTAAGCCTTTCGGATTTCGAATATTTTTTTATGGAAGCTCGAATTCACAGAACGTAAAAGTGTTTATATACATTTTATATGTGGATAGATTTTGATTCAAATTTTATTGTTATAACATTTTAACTGTTTATAGCTATTGCACTAATTAGCTTGTGCTTTGGAACAGTCAAACAAGACTTTCACCACTGTTCTTGCCACTATGTTAGTTTAAATGGCGCAGAAATCGGTTTTACCACTCGTACGTTTGGCATATTTTACAAATGCATTTGACATAAATTTTAAGGGGCTTAAGTGCCACAGCCCTGCCTGCTGCGCCCTGGTCCACGTAATGTGCCACATGATAAGAAGACGACAACGCCTACATAGATGGCCAGGACCCGAACGGGAGCGGGTTTGCTGGGTCGTTAAATCTTTGCCGGGTGCAGACATAAAATAAGGCAATTACAGTAAAGATCATAAATTATGCGAAGGCTCCGCAACAAGTGCGCGATAAAAATAGCAGAACAAAAAATTGTAGAGCAAAAAAAATAATAAAGAAATGGGACAAACGTCAGACAATCATCCATCAGTCACTCCAGCACTTGGGGCATTCCCAAATTGAAGACTGCTAAAATCTATTGTAGGATTTTCCGCCCACTGCCAGTTTAGCATGTGTGAAGCTAAGTAAGACCGACGGTCTAAGTACTCAGCACTTGGTACTCAGTACTCAGTGCTCAGTGCTCGGTACTCATGTCGTTTATCAACTGTCAAGCGAAATGCATTTCAGCAGCTGCTGACAACAATGCGATGCGATGCGAGTTGCTTATCCCCCCCCCTACCGCTCACTGTGCCCTCCGCTCCTTCGGCTCATGCAAATCGGTTTTACTGGCGCATTAAGTGTATGCGATTTCCTTTCAACAAGGACAATTTAATGCAAAAATGCATGCTTGACAGCCCGGCCAATGCGTGAGAAGGACGGGCATTGACGGGTTGAGCATTACTCCAGTTATGAATAAATACTCGTACCTATACGAGCTTGACTCTTGAGCACATTGAATGCTCGCATCTGCAACGGGCTTCACATTGAACTCGAGCTCAGTTTTCCTTCGAGCGCTTAGTGAGGCGTGTTATCGACGGCCTTGCATGCCCGCACAAGCCATAAACGTCAATTGGCCTCGCAAGTGGCAAAGTGGCAACTGGCAACTGGCAAGCGGCATGCGGCATGCGGCAACAAGTCTGCGTAACGGTAATGGCAAGGAAATGAAAAGCGGCTACAGCTGCTCACAGTGTCATAATTATAGATGGTTATCGCTTCATTTGAGCGATATGCAAAGGCAACTTAACGGATGGGGCAATTGCAAAAGTGTCAAATAAAGTTTGAATCAAATGTTTCATAAATACCTAATAAAAATTTAAATTATAGATGGTTGTAAAGTTATATATTTTTAGGTTTAGGTTTAGTAGAATCAAGGTTGAGCTCTTCGAGTGAATAAAACAAACCAAATTGTTTCTCCATTTTTAACTTATTTATGATATTATATATCAGTGGTTAAATTGAGCTTTCCAAATTATTTACATCTGATTATTTACCGCAGGACTATGCTCAACAAATCTTGCAGCGTTAAACTATTAGTTAAATGCAAATCTTTTCATACCTGACATGAGCTACCCGCAAAAGGGCTTTGTTTTCCGTTTAGGCATTCGACATGGCTTTATTCAATAATTTAACCATCCAGAAACGTCGCTCACTCGAATTCTATGTAAATTTGTTTGCTTTTTGCACTTCCCACCCCAGCACAGCAGCCCTTCAGGTTCATGGCTCTAGGTGGCAAGGAAGCATCTCTCTCTCTCTCTCTCTCACTCACTCTCTCTCTCTCTCTCTCTGATTTAAATGCTAAAGTGCACGATTATCATTTCGATTTTGTATAAATAGGGCATGAATTATTCATGGCCACTTTACTTATGCGCCATCAAAGCGACTTAGACGGTTCCATTTCCATATCCATCTGGCCCTAAAGTAGACATATGGCAATATGATGAAGTTGGCTTATTGACTTTAAGCCATAGATGAAATACTATTTGTGGCTTTCAATCACACAAGTTGTCAGATCGTGAAGTTTTGATAAAGTCAAGTTCACAAATTTAAGCAATTTCCTGTTGTAGAACTTTTTGCACAAGTTGTGACAATTGTTATTTCAACACACTCACACGCATATATATATATATATATATACATATAGTTTATATTGAGTGAGATAAACACAAATTACTGTCGATTTCATTTCACGCCTTGAGCAAAGAAACTTTACTATGCCGCGCAGCATGCCAAGCAAAATCGGCGGCGCCCATTGTCAACTGCTTGCGCGGAGTCTTGTCCTGGAGTCTGTTGTCCCGTGTCCTGAGTCCTGGCATCATCCTCAATGTCGTCGTTGTCTGAAATTCGATAAGACGACAGATAGACACGCAGAAAGACATCGCTGAAACCTGGAAGCAATTTGCGCATAAACGTTCAGCACGATAAAATTTGCAGTTCTGTTTATTTTTCTGACAGATGCTGGGGAAACAGCGGCAGCATTGAAAACTCTGTTTGGAAAACTCTGTTCTCATCTGCTATGCGAAGTTTTGATTCGAATTAAATTTACGATTTGTTTCAGTGGCTGCGATATGCTTAAAGCAATTCCCACGCACAGTGCACGTTTTATTTGTCAGAAAAGCTGCTTTAGGTGGACTTTAAGCAGAAGAACTTAAACCGAATGACGTCTTTACTAACATAAAATTAAATATTTTGTTATTTAATTTAAGCATATATTGTATTATATATTTAATTTTAATATGTATGATTAGAGAAATAAAACAATAGTTAAATCCTAATGTTTGAAAATATAGAAAAGGCTTAAAATTTAGAGATAGTAAGTTTTTCAAAATATATGATATACAAAATGCGGCGGTGCGGCTTCCACTTGCTCCACAGTTTTACAAAGATATTATATAAGTTCTATATTTGCTGTCCGATCTTGGTTACATATGCTCTCCTGTAGCCTTATAATCGATTTTATTGATATTTTCGCAATGCTTGTTTTGCACATCATGTATATATATATATACATATATATATATATATAAATATTTAATTTAAAGTATAAGGCTTTTATAGTTCCAAGATTGAAGATCAAAAATATATATACTTCTTGCGTACAAAAAAGTGGCGTTGTATTTAATATAAATAAAAAGAATAAATGAGTATTCACGAATTAAAAAATAAAATGAAATTATTAAAGCGTTAAATTACAAAATGATATATCAACATATTATTTTGTTTAGTAAATTTGGCATTAAAAATGTTTGTTTTTGTATATTATATTGATTTAAATATATATTTGGCAAGTGACTTAAAGTAAGTCTCAATAAACTAGACTTAATTACGATAAAATCTTGTTTATAGGATTTATTAAAATTAATTTTGAACTGTTGTGATTTGAAGGACATTAAACAATGACAGGACTTCAATCACAGTCCGTAACAATTACCGGACAAGGCAGCAAATTGAGGTTGGCTGGCAGCAATCATTAGCCAAAACTGTCAATAACATTGTTCGAAAACAAATGTCAAACAAACATGGCCATAATGGTAAATCAATAACAAAGAATGTAATGTTGCATTCAGTTTTTTGTTTGCTTTGCCGGAATGTTGCAAATCTAAATTAAATACCAATAGGGGCTAAATTGCCATTGCAAATTTGTTACACTAGCCGGAAACATACGGATAGAATATATGGCGCATGGGTATGTTGGGTGGCAGAAGGTAGCTAAAATTGCAACAAATCACATAACTAAAACACATTTGGTTGTCAACTAGGCTGGCTGCCAAATGAAAATTATAATTGATGCGATATTAATACGCGTACCGTATCATTGTCCCCTGATTCCCTATCACTACCCACCAGCAGCATCCATCCCCTATACCCATGGACAGGCAGCTGATGTTGAGATTGATGTGTTGCATTCGCGGAAAAAGGCTGAGCAACAGGCTTGCTTCTCCTGCCCCCTTCCACCAACTGACTTTGATGGCATGCGTCATTAATGTCAGCCATGGTGTTGTACAGACACTGCCACACAGACAGATACGCACGCACAACCACAGCCACCGGCACGCACAACAAAACGTTCACAATTGTCATCAGGCCTGCTTTGGCTTTTTGCCGGCTGGCTCTTGGTCAGTGTAGCCACCATGGAGCTGCCACTCTCTGCGACTTCTCGGCTCGGCTCGGC